TTGTATTAAGTTAAATATTAAGTAACTGCTTTACTTGGGTGTTGGGAAGCCCGTATATGAAGTTACAACAAAAGGTTTTGATTCTATTGAGAAATTCCTTTGGATCTATTCTTGGCGCTAAGCAAAAATCAGCATGCAGAGAGGAGAGGGAACGAATGAGAGGAAGAACACACACTGCTCACGTATATATATATGTTATAATCTTCACCCAAACTAATACTAAAAGTATAGGCTCTGTTTCTTGGAACAAGTGTCCTTATTTGGCTGTTTTCAGTCTGAAATCAGAGGATTTAAAACACTTGTCAAGTGTGATATAAGTAAAATATGCATAAAAGGAAAAAAAGGGTTCCCATCTGTTGATTAGATGAAGGTGAAACTGATGAATAATAATGTAGAACGGACAGTTTCGTGGTTCTGATGATATATGTTAGTGACCGGTTTGGCTGGCTGCTTTGCAACCAAAAGCTGATCGGTACATTATTTGTACTGATTTGTACTGTTTGCTGATGTTTGAAAGTACTGCTTGGTTAATGTCAAGACAAGGGAATGTGTCAGAAATTAACTTATAAAGTTAATCATGTCTCAGCCACTGCAGTCTGTCACGGTCTGCTGGCTACCTCACTGTGTTAAGTACTGTATTTACAACATCAACAGGGGTTTTGTGTTTTGGGATTGTCTATCAGGGGAAATGGTGAGTCTGGCTGTCACTGTGTTCAGTGATGACATAATTCCTTTCCAAAGTCACACTTAATTTACACTGTGGAGGGAGTGCGTACCTACCTACAGTCAGAGTTTAGTTACACTTGCACTGCAGTGACGGCCTGGGGATGGGATGGAGAATGAGTGTTAATCACAGGAGGAGGTGGTTATGGAGAGGTAGGACACAGAGGAACAGAGAGAGGAAAAACTGCAAATATTCTGACAAGACTGTTTACCAAGGAAATGAATCAATCAATCAATGAAAATCATTTTCATATGTATGTATGTATGTATGTATGTATGTATTTAGAAGGCAGATAACTAGACTGCCTCTATTACCTAGTCCACATATGTCCTTTAATTCTGTGCTTGCTGGCTGTTGATACACAGGGTTTGCTGATCGTTGGGATTCTATTCTTGGCATTGCCACATACTGTATCATGCTTACATGGGATCAATTGCCTGTTAAAGATGGTAAGATCTCCTATTACAAATAATTAGATGTATTGATCACTTTATGACCGTTACTGAAGCCACAATGTGTCTATACAGTACATACAGTACCTGGGGTGTCTTTTGGGAAAACCAGATGACATGAAACTGTATCCTACATCCAGTTGTTAGCTATATCTAGGTCATACAGACCCATATGTGACAGCTGTTTTCATTAAAGTTCAAATCTATTTAATATTATATATATATATTCATACATAACCATAAATATTTATTGTGTGTACATACATACATCCTGCACATATGTATTGTTTCTTTTATAAGCTAAAAATCTGGATCAGACAAAAGAACATTTGCAGAATTGTGATGAGGCAAGATAGTAAGAAACACAGTGGTATTACACACAGAACATGCATGACAATGTAGAACAGGTTTATCACGCTGTTTATGACTACAAGACTACAATGACAAACGGGGACACTGACAAGTGTTAGCACATCAAACACGTTTTCACACAAATTATTTTATACAAGAAAGCTTTCTGAATTTGAATTTAGAGTTAGTATGTTTTATTTGGTTGTAGCCTGTTGTACTGAGCCAACGGAAATTAGCCGTGGCAAATAATTTTGCGTGAGCCCAGGCAAAAACAACACAATGTTGTGGTGGTCATGAAGAATATTAAAACCTACTTTGGTCTTGAAAAATAATTCAAGAAACAATATATCCGAAACAATAGTACAATTAAAAGAATAGTAAACGCTAAGGTAAATAAGGATGGAATGAAATGTGGATGCAACGGCCTGTTTTAAATATATACACATTCTGTCTCATGTATAGTATTTGTTAAATCTAAATATTGTATGAAATTGCAATGCAGAATTTCTGTCGATTTTACAAGAGGTGGGAGTTAAGAATAATATATAATCCCTGGGTCCAAAAGCATTTAAATGTTGATATTATGGTTTTGGTTGAATTTGGTAATGAATAATGAGCTTTTTTTTGCCAAGTAAGTCCTTGAGAATGTCCTGAACCAGTGAGATTTGAGCCATTTTTATGTGAATTTCCCTGTCAAATTAATAGAAGACAGGTAAGTGATGTAAAACTCATAGGAGAACACAGGAAGAACAGAGGGAAGTCAAAACATCAAACAACCAAACACAATTGTACAAAACTTAAATACATTGAAAACAAACAGACCAAAACCACAGACAACAGCAAAACATGTTAATTAAAAATAAATATAACTTAATCCTAAGTACATAAAAAAAAAACATTCACACTAAAACACTATGAACACAAATTGATACCAAATCACTACATAATACTCCACAAAAATACCTAAATGAAAGATTTACACACCATGTTAGAAATACGGGACATAAATAAGAACAAAAACCCAAGAAATAAAATAAAAAAAACTACTTGATCACATATAGTGAGGAACTGAAACAAGAGAGAGTGGAGCGAGGCAAAGAGACAGAGACAGAAACAAACGAGACCCTCAAAGATCTAGAGAAGTGATTGGGAGTGGGCAATCAAAAAAGGTGATTGACCATTTGACCTTGGTGAGACATGCATATTGCATTTGGAAGTTAAATGGCCAACAATCAAAGAGAGGAAACTGAAAAGCTCATACAAATAAGTTGGCAAAAACATCTTACGCGTATATCTACAAAATAAATCACAACTGAAGCACACAAGAATGAGTTTTACACAGCATGAGAATCCCTCTTTAAAAACAAGAAGGAGAAGATTTGTTATCGGCGGAGAACAGGGATTAACTAACATAAACCCAGTGTTTGTTTTTGCTCATTTTCTTCCTATTCAGTACTGTTTATCTTCCCTTAAATCACAGATTTTTAACCATATATGTATTTACACATTCACTGGGCGAGAGGTGGTCTCTCACAGGGCAATCAAATGCTTCAAGAGATAGTAAGAAGCAGATCAAATTTTCTGGTGTTAACTGAAAACAAGTACAATCTATTTCTCAAGTACACAAGATTCAGCATATTAATACAGACTAAGTAAGAAAGAGGGACCATCATAGATCCCAATTTTAGGGTCATCCTAGAGCACTTATTTTTTTCAACGGACTCCTGATTTGCTTTAAAGAGGGAATTTTATAGCACTTAAATAGCAGTTTATACATAAGAACCATTGAAACTGAAGCAATGTCAGGGACCTGTAAGTGAAGGGCTTGGACAGCTCAAGGCTTGCTTACCTTAGACAGCATGTAGCCACTTTTCAATCAAATCTGTCATAGCGTTTGAATGTCTGTCTGCTCAGTAAGTGTTTCAGTCACCGAGTGCAGCTCATAATTGTTTTGATTTCTATCCAGATCTCCACAGTACAAATACAGAAGGCCCTGAACTTTGGACTACACTAGGCACTGAAAGCACAAATACATGGTCTAGGGAGTAGTATTTCAGATCCATGACACGCTCACAACACAGTATTTTGCAAGTAATTATTGTGATAACTGGCTTTGTTCATAAAGCTGAAGTAAGACATTGCACAATAACAGTTTAAAATGTTTGCTTGTTTCAGCGTGGCATGTTTCAAGAGGTACTATCCCCTGACCCAGATGGCTCCACTGACCCCACTGACCTTGGGCCTTGGAAAGATGAGTGTAATGACTGTCTATCAAGGCTGGCCAATTGATTTGACATAAAATACAGAATATGTACATGTGCACATCTTTGAGCCTGAAATGTGTTCTAGCATTGGTTCCATTTTTTTTGTTAATTCCTGAAGAGTCTGTCAGTTTAACCTGTGCATGAGTACATGTACATATATAAATATTTATATACAACTGTAGAAAAGAATGCATTTTTCAAGGCAAAACCTTTTGAAATTGCAGTGTTTATTTGCCAAGGTTGAGGTCCGTGGGGTAGGGAGTAACACGAAAAAACACAGTAGAAGGGAAAAACTAAATTAAGCCACACACGACAGCACAAACACAACACTCAGACGGCATTGAGAGGACAGAGACACAGTGTATAACATGTAAGAATGAAAAAGCCCACATACACACGCGTGATATGACACAACCTGAAGAGAGAGACAACAACAACACAGAGGCACATCAGACAACAACGTGACCCGCTGTTCCCATTCAATCTTCTTCAGTGTAGGTTTTATTAGTTATTGACACAGGACACGACAACTTGGTTATTTTCACTTGATGCTGCTGGATGTATTTGCACATGTGCACGCCCACACGAACACGCTCCTGCACTCATGAGTGTTTTAAGCTCTTATACAGACGCATACACACATATATGCACATCATTTGTGCACACTACTTCTTATGGGTGTATATCACAGTGCAATCCCTTTTTTTAAAGTTTTTACTGCTTGTAAATTGTTAAAATTAGAAAAAAGCTCATTTGTATGCAGGCAGGATATTGGGCTGAGGTTAGGTTTCATTGGATAAAATACCTCACAAATCAGTTGAGCCCTAAAATGCCATTTGCCACCCCAACCATAACATTCAGATTATAGCACTACCTAACCTTAGCTCAACTGTTTGCATTGATCTCTCAATGTAATACTTTCCACACTTTCAGGCGCGCAGAAGACTCCTCACAGGTGACACTTCAAACTCTATTGAACATGTATACACAACACTGTGGAAATGGGGGTGTATATGTGATTTGAAGTCATGCATAATGTGTGCAGGTGTGTCTGTGTTAAAGTGGGTGCTGTACTGGTTTAATTGTTGTGGTTTGTGCAACTACAAAACATGCTATGTCATGGAGAGCCAAATCCAAATTTCTGTATGTTTTTAGTCAAAAGTTGACTACGCTATGGGCTCCTTTATTAAAAAATTTTGTTAGTGTTACCTCTGGTCTATGGTTTGATCCAGGAGGAGGTGGAGTTTGCATTGAGGTCCTGCTGTAACAGAGACCCTTCCATCTTATACCAATCCTCAGTCAGAGGGGAGTCTGGGCTGGGTGCCAGGGCTGCTGCCTCTAGTTTGTTGTCAACAGGGGGTGTTAAAAGTTTGGAGGGAGTGTAAGGGAGTGTTTTGGTGCAGGTTGGCGGCAGTGGTGGTGGTTGGATTGCAGTAGTAAATGAATTAAGGTGTCAGGTTTTCATGAGCACGAAGATAATGCACATGGGGTAAATAAAAAGGGGGGCAGGGAGGAGGGTTACGGTGAAGCACAAAACAAAAGAAGGGGGGAAAATGAGGGCATCGGGTTAAAGATGGTGCAGAGGAGAAAAAAGGGGGGAGGAGGGAAAATGTGTGGCAGGTTAGGGTGGGAAAATCATTACGGGGGGAAGGGGGGAGGGGGTAGACCAAAATAAAAAGGAAGATGCGAGGCAAGAGAGAGAGAGAGGGAGAAACAGAAGTGACGAGAAGTAAATTAATGCATGGTCAACTGTCTGAGTCCAGAAGACAGAGAAAGATTTAGATCGTTTATGAGCATGAATGAATGTGACATTATGGGGCACAGAACGAAATTCACAGACACTATGGAAAGATGGAAGAGGAAGAGAAAGAAAAAAGAGAGAAGTAGAGGGACAGAAAATCTTGTCTGACAGAAGAAATAAAAACATGATACCAAGCGGTGATGGAAACACAGAGAACATGAATGTGAAGAGGTGGAAACAAATAGAGCAGAGCAGAAGAGCTAAGTGTATATGCATGTGTTGTAAGTGTATGGCTGTATATGTGTGCATGTTTTGCTGCTAGCTGGTATTGGAGCCTTCAATCAGTAGCTAAGGCTTCCAAAGTCAGTTTCATGTGTGCTCTTTCATCCAACCCACCTTAGCTAAATGTTTGAATCGGATCTTACACACTAACCTATGTGTGCATCGGCTGCACACTGCACATATATAATATATATGTTCACAGAATGTTATGCCTGGCATCTTGCTGTGTGGATCTGTTTACATAAAATGTGTATGTTTATGTTTCCGTCTCCTGGTGTGAAACGTACCTTTCCGCACATTCCCATCTGTGGCACGGAATTCCCTGGTGTTGAGCAGGAAGCAGGCACGGTCCTGCTGGTAGCGTTCCCGGGTAGACCCTCGCCCAATAGGGCTCCTTTCATCGGGGCTCAGCACCTGGTCAATGGTGGGGCAGTCCTCGTTAGCCAGGGCGGCCGAGGCTGCATCACCATTCTGCTTGGAATCTAGAGGGAAGGTGGGGGCAAAGCGAGGAGGAAGACCATATACAGGAGAATTATAAGAAAAGCATAGAGAAGAGTATCTTGTGAGTCTTTCTTCTCGAAAAGAACTTGCGTGCTACTTGTGTGAGAAAATAAAGCAATAGATTTTCTATTGCAGATTAGTTGCCAAAGTATAACAACAAATAGGATTCGTTTTGGAAAATAATCATACTGAAAAATAGCTAAACGCAATATCATAAGTTCACTACAAGGCTAGTTCTCAAAGCTGTCAATTAAAGGATTAATTGATCGGCACATTTCCATCAGTGACAATGTTTTTAGGTAATTTTTTAGGAAAACTACCTAACTACTACAAAATATTTGCTCCCAAATGTCGCTTGTTTCTAATTCACATCACTGTCGCTTTTTTTTAAAGTGAAAAGTTGCATTCACTTTAGGCTCTGGTAACTTATTTTTTAAATCCTAAAAATCTGTCAATCAACAAAGCTATCACTAGTAGGCCTGAATGTTGATAAACGGTAAAGTGAAAGGACTACACTGTAAAATATGCTGAGTGGCAACTAATGCTTATTAAAGTTTTGGACTGACTGCTGTAGTAGTCGCCCACACATTCATTGAGGCATTATGTTAAAATGTGTTACCACGGCAGTGTGCTGTTCTGTGTTGTGTTGGAGCATGTGGTGATGATACTGCAGAGCAGTCTTGGAGCCAGTTGTCAACATTTTGACTAATGCAACTTCCTGTTAAAAGATCTACTCACACAACCTACAAGAAACCCTTTTAGACTGGAAGAAAGCCAAGCAGACGGGATGTAGTGAAAGCACTGATGAAACCAATATTTTCTGGCTCACTGATGACTAAGGCAGTAAAGTAATGCATTAAAGGTGCATTATTGTTGCATGTTACTGACGCCTGATCCTGCAGCATGTTAAGAGCAAACAAGAAGCCAAATTACCTCTCCTCCTGATTTTACTGCTAATGCCAGAGAGAAAATATGTGGAGTCAGCAAACATTTAAATGCATTAGGCTGTTTTAATAGATAATCAAGTTCATTTTCCTTCCATGGTGTTTGTTTTTCAATGACAGATGGGTGCCTTGAGGCAACTGTGGACCTACCAGTTGATCATAAATTACACATGAGTTCTGATGGGGCAGTGATTTCTCTGGGGTGGATCCAGAATCAACTATGCATCACTTTCTCTTGGCACTCTGACCCCGAAATTCCACCGTGCTCGGCTTTATAACATCTGTGACGCATTTTGGCCCCATGACCGACGCGTCTTTAAATCCCACTGAGAGCATTTCAGAAGCGAAATATCCTCAGAGCATGTTGCCTGCCATACCTTGTTTACTCATGTATTTTGTCTTTAAAAGGGATACAAATCAGTGTGTTTCTGTTTTAAAATCTCCTCTAACCTGCCTCTGCCTATTTAACTTCTGGTCTGATGCCACAATGTTGAGCTAGCGTGAAACCGGAGTCTGCACACTGTATTTTATTTAGAAAATTTACCAATATGAGCAATCTGCTCTGTGCTGCTTGACGTGAGTGGGTCGCAGCTTCTGTCCGTATTCTACGCGGAGTAGAGAGACGCTTCTGAGACGAGCAACAGCATTTATGGTGGAATTTAGAGAATTGCTTAGAAAAGCTGCAATCAGCTCTGGCGACTGTGGCAGAACGCGTTGCAGCCATGCCCGGTGGAATTTGGGGGTGATCCTCCACCAGACCCCTGATATCATCACTGTACATGCCTAAACTTGCAATCGGTCAACTGTCAAATTTCTCAGAAGCATGGTAGTCAGTTTTACCCAATTTACTTTGATTGTAAAACTGTGAATTATACAATACAACTGGAACAATACTCTCCTAGGAATTTGACACTAATAGACTTTTCTGTGTTTTGTTTTTTTGGCTCTCACCTCTGTTAATCTCTATAATTTCTTCTTGAGCGAGAGGACAGTCACCCCCTATGCCTCCAGACCCCATCACTCCACCCAGGACATTTCCTAAGAGCCTTTGCGGTGATGCGGTAGCCATAGCCAGGGCGTCTGGCTTGCAGTAGTTGGGGGACCCTGGTTGGGGTGCTCGGGGGATATGTTTGTTCTTCTTTTTAGGCAGCTTTTGTTTGGCCATGGCCAGAGAGTAGTACATGCCGAAGTTGTTGACAATTACAGGTACAGGCATAGCAATGGTCAGCACACCAGCCAAGGCACACAGCGCACCCACCAGCATCCCTGACCACGTCTCCGGGTACATATCTCCATAGCCCAGCGTGGTCATGGTCACAACGGCCCACCAAAATCCTATGGGAATGTTCTTGAAGTTGGTGTGGGCGCTGGCTGTTGGGTCATCTGGATCGGCACCAATTCGCTCAGCATAGTAGATCATAGTGGCAAAGATGAGGACACCAAGGGCTAAGAAGATGATGAGCAGGAGGAATTCATTGGTGCTGGCACGAAGGGTGTGGCCAAGGACACGGAGACCCACAAAGTGGCGGGTCAGCTTGAAGATTCGGAGGATACGGACAAATCGGACAACACGGAGGAAACCCAGGACATCCTTGGCAGCTTTGGAGGACAGACCACTCAGGCCCACCTCCAGATAAAAGGGCAGGATGGCGACAAAGTCGATGATGTTGAGGGTGCTTTTGAAGAATTCCAACTTGTCTGGGCAGAAGGTGACTCGAAGCAGGACTTCAATGGTAAACCAGATGACGCACACACCCTCCACGTACGTCAACCAGCTGTCAGTCACCACCTCATATACAATCTCCTCATGAGTCACGTTGCCCACCGTGACGATCTCTGTCTTGTTGAGGATGGTGTTGAAGGCCTCATGCGTCTCCATGCAGAAAGTGGAGATGGAGATGAGGATGAAGAATAGGGAGCCAAATGCCACATACTGGAAGAAACAAGCAAACAGAAAAGATAGAAAGAGAAAGCAGAAAAAGAAAGCAAGGGAAGGAGAAAGAGTCAGTTGCAAATCAATATAATTCAGCAAGGCAAAGAGAACACTGAAAAGCATAAATAAAATCTGCATTGGTGAAGTTTGAAACCTAAAGCCAACAGCAGAGAAAAACAACTAGTGTATGTGCAACCCCAGTACATACAAGTAGAGGTGTGAATTGTCACTGATCTCCCGATTCGATTCGATTACGATTATCATGTCAGCGATTCGATT